TACCACAGATCTAAATACTGCTTGCAATGTGCTGTGGTGAGAAGTACCAATCTTTATCATAAGGATTGTCTGAGAATCTAGAACATCAGACATCAAACTTTTTTCTAGGCTGAATGCCTTATTTTATTTGGTGATCACAATAAAATACTTTCCTTAGCTTTTAAATGTCAGGGTGTTGTTTCATATGGCAACAGCATGACTAGTTTTAAACATTTGCATAAAGACAAGGTTCTCTGGTTTGCTTGGTTTTGTGCTGCCTGTAGCTTCCCAGCTGGGGTACCTGCATTGATGAGAAAGCATAAAATCAAAGGCAACTCTCTGCATATTTTCCCTCTCCAGCCTACTCACAGGAGCAAAGCAGTGGGCAGGAGCCAGAAGGTGATACACTGCTATCCCCATTCATCCTGTACTCTGTTTGATCACATCTATCATCTTTATTCAAAGAGACTGAGTTTCTGGAAGGAACCTAAAAGATTTGACTGCATTTTTCTGTTGTGGAAACCTTCTATATTTCTTCTTTCAGCTAGAAGTGCAACTAGATAATGATGTGTGTTATTGCCTCTGTGGGCCTTAGGAATAACATGAATTTTGTGTCATATAGAGAGAAAAAGAGGAAGGCTGCAGAGAGCTGGTGCGGTTCCCTCATTATGCCTCCACAGAGCTTATTTGTTTAAACACAATTGAGGTTTTTAAATATTCTTTTAACTTAAAAATCTATGAACACTGTCCAGAAGGTGCAAGTCATCAGTGGTGATAATTTTAACAATTATAACCTGTGAAAATAACTACAAATAATTTGGGGCTGGAGAAGACAGAAAGAGATCATACTCTATAGCTCAAAAAACCCATAAAGATGCAAAGCCAAAACCATCCTTGGAGTAGGTATAACTTTGAGTACCTTGGAGTCACCCCCACCATAAATTCCAGTGCTCATACTTTTGCTTTCACAGGCTGTATCTGCTGTGTGTTGCTGCTTATTGTGTGACTGTGTAATGGACCCTTCAAGTCCATTTAGCAGTGAACATGGGGGCTGATGGGAAGCCCAGGTGCCCAAAAACCTGGCCTGTTTTTCAAATGGGTCCTGAGCTCTGTGCTGCCATAGTTGTCCAGGATATCAGCAACAACAATTTTAATTCAGGATTTGAAGAGCCCGCAGAACAACTCACTACCAGAAGTAGCTGCATTAACAGCTGCATACATCTGGCATAGATTTTTGAGAGTCTAGGAGGCACTGCATCAGAGGCCTGCTGTCCTGCTAACCTCATTTCCCCTCCAGGCACACTGAAGCTGTGTCCCCACTTGACAGCACACCTATAAAAACCAGCTAGGTTAGAAATATAGCTGAGGTCAACTCATCATACTCGTGGCTTAAAAACAATTGATTCCCCCATTTTTCTCTCTCTTCATTTCTCTTGGATAAATAATAAGTCCTGTTACAGGGAGAAATTCAACATATTGATTTAGTCTTACCCAATTTTTGTTTTCACTCCCTCTCAGTTATGGGGGTCAATGAGCAGAAAATACACTAAAAGAAGCAGCAGCAGAGCAGAGAATGGTCGGGTCAGAGGATCACTATTTGGACTGAACTCTCTGAATCTCTCCCTCTCTACCAACAGAATCATATGACATCTTTCATCCTCAAAGATCTCATTCCTGCGTGCCTTGTAAAACTTGACTTGTCTCCTTAAGAATGACTTCAAGCTTTGCTGAAACACAGCTCCTCTGGGACTGCAAAGTGCTGCCTGCCAGGGGGCATATTGCAGCAGGAATAAAGCTGAAATTAATACTGGGTTGTCTGAAGTGTTCCAGGAGGCACTTGGGTCAAGATTTTGGGACTGAATCCCCCATTGGATTAAACCCCCCAGTGGTTTAATTGAGGACAAGATGAGATCAGTTTTACACCTCATCTGAAGAGTGGCATCAGTGCCATCCTTTTTCAAGGTGAGGAACTAATGAAGTTAGTTCAGTAGTCACTAATAATTGCTGTTATCTTAATTCTGGCAGGACCTGCAATATTTTAAGGTTTTCTGGGAAGTTACTGATCCTAACACCAGCCCTTCTCCTGTTACACTTTGTACACTGATAAAATCAACTTTCAGGAGCGATATGGTAAAAGTGCACTTTCTTTGTACTGTGTATCTTCTGCTGCTACACCAGTAACCAACCATTTATCACATAATCAGATCCTTGCTGAACTATATGCCATCTGTGATCAAATGAATGATGAATAAATTCAGAATGCAATTTCAGCTAGTCTATTTTTTGTTCATATTTCGTTCCTAGTAGATTTAAGTCTTTTTGACCTTGTGAAAAATAGCTGCATTTGAACTAAAAATGTGGGGTTTTTCTAGATAATGGACTATGCCAACTTCTATTTCTTTTGGAATTCAATAGAAACTGTTTGGTATATCAGGACATTTTCTACATCCTTATTTACTTTTTCTCCCTTTCAGACTATGCCCTTTGATATAGCTAAACTCCAATCTTTGCTCATATCTCCTGGCTCCAGGAACCCCTTTTTGATTTCCATTGTCTTCTGTGTGGAAGTAACTCTTGCTATCAAGCATTACATTTAGTTTTCCACTCATGTAGCTATGAGCTAACAAATTACACCAATTTCTTGAGGCCTTCTGAGCTAAGTGAATTTGGCTCACTATTTCTCAGCTATCAGCCCTTTCATTATTGTTAGGGAATGCTTCAGTGATATTTATTCGTCATTCTGGTAATGCAAGTTCTTTTGCTTTGATGCTGAGACTTTGAAACCTGAATTCCTGACAACATAGAACTTCCTTCAGAAAACATCTAATTAAAATGTGTTAATGCAGTGACCCTTGGTCACTTGCAACCCCTGAAGACATCTCAGATGGATGTCTGGTTTTGTTGTATGTCAGCTTTCAGCTAAGGAAAAATGTGTTGTGTTTACTCACCATGTAGTGCAAGGGGTGGTGTGGAGCTTTACATAGAGCAACAACTGCATTCCAAATCTTCTTGGGTATAGGGTGGTGTCTGTGAGCCCTGGGAAAGATGCAGACTAGGTTATACTTCTGCACCATCATAGAAAAGTTTACAAAGGACCAAAAGGCAGTCTCATCAATCCTGTGACCATAAAGGGAGAAGAACTGTAAGTAATCAACCATGTTGGTTGGGTTTTTTCCCATTTCCAGTCTGTAAGAGGTTAGAAATTATAATATTGGCATGTTATATATCCTTTTAAAGGATATATGTTTGATTTTTCTTATAGAGAGTGGAGTGCTAGTTTAGGATGATGTAATATGAAATAATTTTACAAGAAACTAAGATGAATATTTTAAACAAAAGGTAAATTGGTAAGGCAGCATCATAATATAAAAAAACCTTATCTAAAACTAAGATAACTCCTTCACAGATTACAGTTACATAAACAGTTAAGGCATCTTACCAAATTCTACACTGCAAACTGTGTTCAGCAAACTTTGCTATTTTTAATGCCAGTTTTTAACCATTTGTATGTCTTTGAATGCAGGCATTGATACACTATTCACCCTATTGGTTGTTTTATCAGGGGGTAAGGCTGAAAAAAATTAAAACACTTTTAAGAACTGGTCTCATTTGAAACAAGTTGTGTATGCTTTACTATGTATTTATTAACAATAGAAGCAGTCGATCCAGCTTATTTTGGTTTGGATCTCCAAGCAAAAATAAAGCTCTTATGACTTCTGGGACTGGATTGCAAGTTCAACCTTACTGATATACTCAGATCTACCATCATATGATGTCTAAAATTAAGAAAAAAAAGTTGAGTTTTAAAATTCTTCCTTCCTGTCTCTTAGAAATGGTGACAGGCTGCCTCTGTACATTGTAGATTGCTGGGCATTGGGATCCAGGAGAAGTGCTCCTGGGGACAGCAGTTTTAGTTCAGTCTCAAAAGGAATGGGAGATCTCTTTGTTTCCAGAGGAGTGGCTGCATGGATAAAGTAGGGCTGCAGATCAAATAGATGATACAATAAGTGAGATTATGTAATTTAAATTGCACAATGGGTAAAATAATGGGGAGGTGCCAAGCTCTCTTTGGAAAGTGATTTCAGATGTTTCCTACCCAGAAAAATACAGATTTTGGAGACTTCATTTAAAAGCAATCAGAAGACAAAAGGTCACCAGGCAAACTGACTAATTGGTCACTGGCCAGATGGAAATCTCTGCTTAGTTCATTTCAAGGACAAGTTGCTGCTGGATAATGTATGGCAGATGGGGATCCAGGGGAGTTTATTTTCATGAATCACACTGCTGTGAGGGATGTGTAACTCTTTGTACTGGGGGTCAAGCCAGATCTTGTCTTTCTCATTTGAAGGACAGTCTCTGTTTGCCCCATGTTAAAACAAGGAAGGAGAAGAGTACAAATCAAAAGCAGATATCTCACCACAGATTCTATTTCTTGCAACCACCTCAAACTGAAGTATCATATGTTTGCCATCAAAATACAGTAGAGGTGTAACCCTTTTTGTTGTCCTGGAAGGCATGTGTTAATCTTCAGCAAGCATTTTGTCACTGTGTCCACAATACAGCACATAAATGGAAACATCTTTTCAGAAAAAATCTAGAAGACAATTTAATATTTCCCTCACTCTGAATCTTCCCAAAGACACACTTCTACTAGGAAATTTTCAGGCCTGCATGATAGCTTACTAAGGAATAAACTCTAGAAGATTATAAGAAGGAATAATTAGTGTACCTTGTAAATAATTTTAATAATACTAAAAAGAAAGATTATTGCATTATCTTACACTTCCAAGAAGATCCACCCATTCCTTCCTTGAAAATGGACTCTGTTGCATTTCCATCCACATTGATTGTGCATCCTTCAGATTAGTGTACATCTTCATTTGTCAAGATCTTAAAAAAAAAAAGATCTTCTCTTTTCTGCTGTTTCTTTGCTGTGGAAGTAGATTCTGTAGCTTCAGGCAAAATGTGTGATCTGCTCTTTGGCTTTTAGAGCTTTGCAATTTTTTTTCAATTCTGTTGGGGTTTGTAGTATCCTAGGAACAAAGAGACAATAATGTTTGAAACATCAAAACTTACCAGTTAGTCTTAGTTAAAATGCAAAAATCTAGGATTTGCCAGGTAAAGAACAGCCAAGATTGCAAATAAAGTCGTTGTAGGTTGTGTGGCCTTTATTTTGTTAAAATCCAGCTTACTGAAGGACAGGATTGTCCCACATGCCTGTGTCCAGAAAGCTCTCACATAAATTGCATGCACATTTGGCAATGTTTCTTCCTAATATGAATCCTTATTTTATGGGGTATTTTAACCCCAATATCCTTCTATACAAAAGGCTCTCTACAATGTCAGCTAGCTAAAGAGAATACACCATGCTGTCCATGGTCTCTGCAAGGGGCAGCTCTGGGCACAGCACCTTACATTTACATTGCAGAATAGGACTTCCATAAATATTTTTCTCTCATGACTCAGCTTGTAAATATATTGATATGGATCTGAGTGCCAAGCTGGAGAGCTAATATGGGGAGGCAGCTGCCAGTATGGGTTGCCATGGATATAATGTTTGATCACACTCAAAGGTAGCTAAGTGAGGTAACTAACTTCTGCAATAATAAAGAAAGTTTTGTACTGTTTAAACCTAGATGCAATTATGACTACATCAAGCATGAAGGGAAAGGGAATAAAATCTAAAATGAGAAGCAGAAAATACATTTTGGTTTTGTTTTTTTCTGAAAACATTGCTCAGCAAATCAAGATCTTAAATTGAAAACTTGAATCCATTTGCTAAAAAACAAAACAAAACAAAAAGAACATTTAGAAAAGCCTCTATGGTTCCATAGACTTTTTTCCTACTAAAAACATACATATTTTCAAAAATTTAAATTCAGATGAACCCTTTTTAAATTTCTCTTTTTTTAAATAGAACTTATCTCTGCAATCATAACAATGAATTCTATCAGCAGTAAGAATCTCTACTTATGTCCATCAAGTTCTAAAGACTTTACTTACTCTAAAAAGCAGGATTTTGCAGAATATAAAGATGTTTCATTCAGCAGCAGCAAACTTTGTGTTTGGGGTGTTTTTAATTTTACTATTTGCTTACTCATAAAGGTACTGAAAAATGTCCTTTCAAAGTCAAGAATAAACAACCTACACAGTTAGTACTGAGACAGTCAGCCTGTAAATACTAAGAGCTAAGCCAGGGGAAAAGAATTCAATGCTTAGCTAGTTAGAGGAAGGGGGAAAACAAAAATAATTAAGTCAAACCAGGAAGAGATAAAAATAGATAGGAAAGCTAAAACAGAGGAAATTATTTTCACTCTGATCATTTCAATACTATCTTGATCCCTGTGGTTATAGATTGCCTTAAGAGTTGTGAGTTAAACTTTTTTAAACTGTAAAGAATCTGTTCTTTTTGTGTTGTTACCTTATTCCTGAGCTTTCAGGAGTGATATCTTGCAGAGTTTCCCTGAAAACACGAGGTCAGACATTTACTTTCAAAATAAAAAATGCATTAGAAGTTATCCTGTAATCTGATGACAAAGAGTAAGCATTAATGCTACTTCTGCCTGAAATTTTCTCCCTGCTGGAATCTGTGACCCTGTGCTTTCAAGGGCAGCTGTCCCTGCAATTCTGCAGCCCGAGGTGAGGCCCAATCCTGCCAGGAGGTTGCTGGTCTGCAGAGTGGCCACAGCACAAAGCCTGATTTCTTTGAAGCAGAATGTGGGGAAGAAAAAAAAAAACAAAAAGGCTTTGAAGTGAGGCAGCATGTGGCTTTTTGGGGTGCTCCAGGAAGTGTGGAACAGACCCCTCTGACACTGCTGGTACCTGTGGTACCTGTGAGCCACCCTGGGTCCCCACTTATCAGTGTTTATGTTGGTTCTGAGCTCTTCACATGAGAATCTGACTGTAGTTTGCAACACAGAACAATAAAACACAGCTAAAACCAATTTAACCTTATCCCACACTGACATAAACCCCCCACTGATCTGTCTCCTTTGGCCTGATTTGTCTCCTTTTTGGTCTCGTGGGGAGCTTTCCATGTTGGTCTCTGCAAAAAGGGTCAGTGGCTTCAACTTGTCCTGTATCAGAGCAGAGCAGGAAAAGGAAATTGATGGACTGAACAGCAAAAAAAGCCTTACAGTACTTTAAAACCAGCTTTCATCATGTGAGGGGCTCCTTTGGCTCCATATTGATTTGATTGTGTTATCTTCAGGAAAGCATCTGTTTTAATTTACAGTTAATGTTCCAAGGGCTTGAATCCTGAGTCACAAATCCACCCCCATCCCCTCAAAATGAACAAAGGTAATATTAATCTCAAACACAGAAAGCGAATGAGTTAATGGAAAAAAACACAAACATGCAATGACTCTTTGATGTAAGGATACATCATACAAAATCCGAAAATCTTTCTTTGCTGTCACCCCAAGGTCTTTGCTGTCTCACTGTTTTTTTACCAAGAGTAAGCCTTAGCTGGAGATTTTGATCAGATTTGGGAGAAACTTAACTGGGGTGTGATCCAAAATTGTTCAGGAAATTCAATTTTGTAGATGCCAAAACTCATTTGAATCTGTTAGAAAACAGTTTTGGATGGAAACATAGATGGAGAATTAAACAGTTCAAAGATTTCTTTAAAAAAAGGCTCTTGTTCTCTAATGGATCTATTTGTTCAAAACCTAAATAAGAGGGAAAATATCAACAACAATAAACCAGAGTAAAACCTCTAAAGAAAAAATTATGTAAGTAAAAAAAAATAAAACTTTTATTCAGCCCAACACTATATTTCCAGGTTGGTGACTGTGGTTGTTGAAGAAAGTAGTCATAATTTCTGGTTTAGGACAACCCAAATAAAAATTAATGTGAGATTCTTCAGGTTAGCAGCAAACCCAGCAAAACCATCATTCACATGGATATGTTTTTCTTGACTTTTATTATAGTAATATGTTTTATCTGTACAGCATGCAGGCTGTTATTCTAATAACTGTTGTTATGCCTGAAAACATCTTCCACATCCTGATTCTGAAATTTTCCTATGCAAAGAAAACTGGTATTTTCCTAGCTTAGGCTTTTTTTGTGATCTAATCTACCCTTTGCTGCTGACTGACTTCAGATTTTCAGGGTAATTTCACCCACAACTTTGAATGCCTTGGGCCCAGGCAGAGGAACGAAAGGCAAATCTCTGAATTTTGGCACAAAGCCGTCAGCTGTGCTTCAAACTGCAAAGCCTTACTGAACCCTAAGGACAATTTCAATAAATGGTCGCCCAGTACTGACATGCTGGCCCTCCAAGAGGTTTGTGGTCTTTGAAAGATGAGCACAGTGAGCCTGTTAGAGGGAGATAAAGGAAAACATAAGCCATGTGTGTGACACTGAGGCATGGTCAAGTAGGGGCCCCAAGAAGGTTCACTCTAACTTGCAGTATGCAAGTTGAAACAGAGCATGGTGAGATTGAAGATTTGGCTTCCTTAAAATAAAGTCAAATATTGGTGTTAAAAGACTCAGCATAAAGGAAGAGAGAGTGGGATTGGAGAGCTTGAGGAAACTTCTGCCGTCTGACCGTTGCTGGCCTATCCTATCAAGCAGTAAAGCCATCTCAGTTGCTGGCATGTTTGCTTGTCTTCCATAAACCAAACTGATGAAAAAAATAAAAAGCTTTTCTTTCCTTCTGCTGGTGTTTCTGTTGAAATTGCAAATGTTTTCCAAAGTGCTGATACAGAAGATATGCAGTTGGGTACAGCTGTTGACAACTCCTTTCCCAAGTGATGAAGTTTAACAAGGGCAGTGCCTGCTGCTGACCAGAGCCCACTTAACAGGCCAACAGCTGAAATCTGTACAGCAACTCTTTTTATGACACACCAAACAAGCCAGGGAACAAGGGAATAAAATATTGATTTAGTTATGGCAAAACAGTAAGAGGAGCCAGGCTGTATCTCCCTACAAACTGCCAATCTGCCATCTGCTATCTTTTCATTTTCCCTCACACCACTGATGCGAGGAGTGTCCAAACTTCAGCGCATGTTTTGCAAACAGCAGTGCCCAGTGGGCTGTTGCTGTAAGTCTGCCATCAGCATCAGCCCTGCTCCAGCCTACTTAACCATTTAATTTGGTAAATGTCAATACGGCCTCTTTGTTCTCCTCAGCACCATATGCTATCCGATCAAAAGTCAATCAGGTTTCTCTCAGCTCCTCTTTCTTTCAGGAAGATCCTTGGCAGCTGACAGCCCCCCCGGGAATCTTAGGTAAAGAGCTGTGTTCTGTGGAAGTGCTGCAGTTAACATAAACATTGCAGCTCTGCTCCAGGAACACTGATGTGACGTGGGGAATCATTGCACAGCTCACGGTGCAGACATGTGATGGAAACACATGCATGCCCTGCAAGGTGGGCAAGGAGAAGAGTTCAGAGATAAGGTACAAAGTAAAAGGGTGGGTATGAAATTGTGGAGTTTTGTTCATAAATCAGATAATAGGAAGGACATGAGACTTGTTCACACAAAAGCGCTTAAGTGTTTTATTCATTTCCCCCAAGTCTTCAAGCAAAGTTACACAAAACAATTCTTATTGGGCAAAAGTCAAAGATCTGTGAAGACTAGAAGTGAAAAGGGGGGAACAAGATAAAAATAGAAAGAGGCAATATAGATCCCAGCATCATGCTCTTAGAGGCATTGCTCACCAATATTCAAGATAAAAATCTCTCTTTTACAAATTCTGTGTTACTTTACTCCTCTTGCTCATATGAATGCTCTGTGCACACACTTCTTGTTCTTTGAGGACCATTAATTTGCATTCTCTTATTCATGGTTCTCTGAATCATCTGGTTTGATTTTTAAGTAGGAGCAGGCAGGAGTGCATACAAGGCAGAGGAAAAGACAGGGTTTATTTGCAGAATGGGCAGAGGGATTTAGTTGAAAAATCAACAGTGTTAGACAGGAGAAGGGCAGCCTTAAATTCTGTTTCTGCAGAGTCACTGAGTAACTGAGTAACTAAGGTTATTCAGACCTCCTGAATAACCTTAGCCAAACCTCACCTGTCTGATCAGTCC